CGTATAGGAACGCTTTCCTTTATTACGCTCGATACTTCGGCCGAAGATTCCCGAATCATATCTTAGAGTATTCATCCTCTCTTATCGAGGATTAGAGATTCCTTGTTGCGCATTCACTTGCCTTCATGGCTAAGTGGCTTAACCCCAACGATGCCTTGGACACTCTCGAATGGAATGACTTTAACATAATCAAAGATTAAGTACTTAACCACAAGACAACGACGATGCCTCAGGTCAAAGGATTACTTACATTATTCCAACCATTAGAGTTACTTGCTTGACATGTGAGTAGACCTCCATGCAAGTACTCTCGTTCGATTGTGTTCAGTGAACTCATTCCCTTAATGAGCACCTACATGCTTGTCTTAGTGTCGCTACACGAATGGGATGAGACTTTCCATCCTTCCAATTGAAGCGGACATAGTATGTACCAGTCTATGGATTGTCAGTATCCCTCCGACAATCCTTATGACCAGGAACCTTTTTGGACATGATGGTTATGAGAAGAAGGTCTCTGTAATCTAACATCATTAGGTTACTTCTTCCATCGATCCATTGTCCATGGATTCACTATTTAGGACATATTTCGTTCATTGAGATAGTCCCAATTAGTATCTTTGCCTTCCGATGTATAAGAGTCATATATACATCAATTCATTGTCCTGAAAGGTTTCTTCCAAAGATTGACTTTCAGGGCATATTTCCAACAGTTTCTGTGTGTAACCTTTGGCTACAAGCCTTGCCTTGTGCTTTTGAATGGAGCCATCAAGGTTCAGCTTTGTTTTCTATATCCACTTCACTCCCACAACAGATTTGCTACTTGGTCTGTCTTCCCAAGTGGAATTCTTTTCAATCATCAACATCTCCTCTGTCATAGCCTTTTTCCAAGCTTCATCTTTGACTGCCTCACTGAAATCTTTAGGTTCAATAATGCTTATCTGACCTTGAGCATAAACATCACTCAAATTCTTCCATTTCTGTGGAGTATGATCATAGGTCTATGAGATTGAAACTGGAGAACCAAGTGAACCAGATTCCTGAGATGCTTGCAGGTCTCTAGTTGTTTGTGATCTCAGAGGAGATTGCATAGACTGAGGTGAGTCATTTGACTCTGAGTCAAGTTTAGATATCCTTGAGCTTCCTTCATCATTCCAAGGAATAGAGACTTGCACTACCTCATTAGATTCCCATTCCCACATTGCTTTCTCATCAAATATCACACTCCTTGATAATTCAACTTTCTGAGTTCTCAAGTTGAAAACCCTATATCCTTTTTCACAGTTGCCATATCCAACAAATACTCCATTCTCACTAGTTTCTTCCAATTTGTGTCTTTTCTGTGAAGGAATGTGAATGTAACATAGAGAACCAAATATCTTCAAATGTTTGACACCTGGTTTCCTCCCACTAAATGCCTCAAATGGAGTTATGTTGTTCAAAGCACTTGTTAGACACCAATTTTGCAAATACATAGCCGTGTTCACAGCTTCAGCCCAAAACTTCATGGGAATCTTCTTTTTAAACATCATTGTCCTAGCCATTTCAACCACAGTACGGTTCTCTCTGCAACACCGTTTTGTTGTGGAGAGTAGGCAAGGGTTAATTGCCTTTCTAACCCCATATCTTCACAAAACTTAAAGAACTCTAGGGATGTGTATTATCCACCCCTATCACTCCTGAGTTTCTTAATTTGATAACCACTCTATAACTCAACCATGCATTTGAACCGTTTGAAGATGTTGAAGACTTGTGACTTGTGCTGCAGAAAGAACACCTAACACATTCTAGTGTGATCATCAATAAAGGTAAGGAAGAATCTGTTCCCTCCAAGAGTAGTGATCTGCATTGGACCACAGATATCAGAGTGAATCAGCTCTAGAGGTTGTGATGCTCTCCTAGCCTTTTCCTTATCGAATGGTTCTCTGTGACCCTTCCCTGTAGCACATCCAAGGCAAACATGCTCAGTGACTTGTAATTTAGGTAAACCCTGCACCATTTCCTTCTCTTGCAGGAGCATCAATATGATGTAGTTTAGATGTCCATATCTTCTATGCCACAACCAAGATGACTCTTCAACAGTTGCTCTATTAGCCATAAGAGGATTAACATATTCTAGACTTAAGGGAAAACATCTGTTTCCTTTCATTTGAACACTTGCAATCAAATCTTCCATCTGTCTTTCTCCATATATATCAACCATGTAATCACCAAACATAAGCCAATATCCATGTTCTACCATCTGCCCTACACTCAATAAACTCTCATCCAATCCAGGTACAATCATAACCTCTTTAATATATCTAGCAAACTGGATCACAGTCCTTGATGAAATGACCAAATCGATTGCAACCATGACACTTTGGCTTTCCTTTAAACCAATACTCACCATAATGTAGCTTATCACAATGTTAGCATTTTCCCTTAGCCTGATCAGGTTTTCCCCCTTGATCATATTTTCCACCTTGATTGACAAAGTTCTGAGGTTTAGGGTCCCATTTCTTTCCCTTCGATTTCCAGTTCTTCTTTGGTTTAGAGTTACCTAAAGAGGGATTTGACTGAGTTCCCTTTGGATTCACACTCATACTACTGAAAGCTCTCTCAGTGGTACTCTTAGCATGCCTATCAAGGAGCTATGCAAATCCTCTCAAAGAAGCAATAACCTCTTGCACCTCAATAGTTTCAATATCCTTAGTTTGATTGATCACATAGCAAACTGGATCAAATTCTTTGGTCAAGCTTATAAGCAATTTCTGAACCAAACGCTCTATGACTAAATCTTCCCCATACCCTTTCATTTGATTCACCAACTCGAGAAGACGAGTGAGATACACATACAAGGTTTCATCATCCTTCATCCTCGTGTACTTGAAATCACGGCGTAGACCCTGTAGTTTGATGGATCTCACTGGTTTATCACCATGAAATTCCTGGTGTAAAATATCCCAAGTGCCCATTGAGGTCTCCTCATTCGAGATTCTGGGAAAAATATCCTCCGAAACTGCGCCTTGAATGATACCCAATGCCTTAGCATCCTTCATTAGCTTATCACTCAGCAAAGCTTTCTCTGAATCTGATGAGCCTTCCTCTTCGACCTTCTTCCCCTTCGATTCTGGAATTTCAAAACCCTTTTCAACCAAATCCCAGATTCCATGCGATTTGAAAATGGTTCTCATTCGGATCTTCCAAAATTCATAGTTGCCACCAATTAATATTGGAGCCCGAAGATCACCACCACTTGACCCAGCCATTTGAGACCTGAATCAATGAACTGAGTTAGAAATTTCACGTTGGATTTTCGAGCACAGCCCTCACATATTCGACGCCCCGATTCCAGATAGAAACTAGGCTTAAGATACCATGTTAAGATTAGAGTAAGCTTCCATTAATCTGATCATTTGGATTTCGAAGGGAGCAAGAAGAATGAAGAGAGAAGAAAAAACTAGAGAGAGAAGCAGGGAGAATATTTCATAACAGCATCATTCTTTCATTTAGAATGGTGCTCCACTTTCATATATTCTTTCATTCCTTACATCAGTCATCATCACCATTCAATACATAAGCCATTGTGATTATGACACATGGCAATTACAAGGCATGTGAGCCAATAGAATGAAAACTGATCTAAGACCTACACTTGGCATATGAGCTCAAGCTATCTCAACAGAAAACAGTTTCACAAAATAACAAATAGAAAAACTACTAAGTAAACTATTTACTAACAAGTAATTAGTAAGCAATTTACTTTTCAACAAGAACTTTTGTCTCTAGAATTATATTTTATTATTATTATTTAAGATGTTTCTTTTATTGCAGGCACATCTACAACCACGAAACAGATGAAAGGAGGTGACAAACTCATTACATGTACTGGGTTTAATACTAAAGTAGAAAAATACACATACAATATAAGTGAACCAAAGAGGTACCAAAACACGTATACATGTATAAAAACAGGCAAATGTATAAGCTAAAAGTTTTAAAATATTGCACCTGAGTATTGGTATGAAACTTCCAACAAAAATGTAATGAGATAATACAAGTTATCACAGAAAAAATGAGTAACGTGTAAAATTACCAAAAATTCCACATACTGAAGAATGAGGTTCTTTAAGACACATCATAAGATCGCTGCCAAAACCAACCCCTTTCTTTCTGTATCATGATGTCTTTTCGTGTCTCATTTTGCCTCCAAAGATCTTGGCCTTTTTCATAAGAAAAGGCTGCACAGAATCCAGGCATTAGATAAGTAGGTGCCTCACCATCTATGGAATTAACAGCCTGGGGATGACCACTATTCTTATGTACACCAATGCGGTACCGCAATCCAGATTCGGAAACAAGTGAAGACATATCTAAGGAAATTGACTCAGGCACATCCCAGTATTTTCCTTTATGGTCAACGAATAGTTCAGGCCATGCAGCCTCAAGTGTAATATAAGGAAGCGGCAAACATCTTAAAGGTTAGTAAAATTTCATACATGGCTCATAATTTAAACAGGAAGATAAATGAAGGAAATAAAGGTACAGGCATGAACTTTTTCACTAAAACAGCTTATGCAGTGCACATGTGCAATGTTAAAGGTACATAAATTAATCTTTTCAGTACATGGTTCTTAATTTACAGACATGAAACTTTCCACTTTTATCTATGCTCAGTGCAGTGCATAACACTCATTTGGTCTCTAAGATTGGATTAAAATGGACAACTGACTATATTCAAGGTATGTTGACGAAAGAAATGAAAAAAATTGTGGGTTACTTGATGGTAGGAGATGGATTATTTTCCATTCCAATCAGCCAAAATGGTAAGGATCAGAAAGGATTATTTTCCATCATGTCTAATCCCCACAAAATGAAAAATCATTCACCACTATCTTTAAGAAATTAGGAATAATACTTTAAGATTATACATGCTGACTGAATCTGGTATATGTTCAAGTGATTAATAGTTCATATAGATACATCCCTAGAATTACATAAGTTTAACTTTAATTCCTATATGAGAAATTTGTCATATGAAAGATAAAAAATCGCAGTAGGATGATACTACAACCTGGCATGAACAAACCCCAGGAAGAACTTAAACCTAACAACTCCAATACCCATAAATCATTCAAACTAGCTTCATGAACCCGGCAAACAAAAGATAACAGGAATTCTGACTGTTTAAACAATTTGATTAAAGGTCAAAACGAGGAAAGCAAATGCATGCTTTGTGAAAGAGCACCAATTTGTTGTGGCGTCCTTTCCCCATGCCCTTCTGCGCTCAACTTTATGGATGATGACGGAGACAAAAGAAGCTGTGTACATAATTCAAACGAATAAAGTGACTTGTCCAAGACATGCATTGCCACATCTTTGAATGTAGGGACCTCCATCTCACCATTAGTTAATTCAGCTTTAACAGAAGATAAAAGTTTCTTCCGGCAGAACTGCCCAATTAATCCAAGCCACCTATTTTCGCGCAGATCATGTAACAAGGGAATTAGTATGTCTGACAACTAAGAGTGCTAACCGGATTTGGTTAATGTGAGATGACTTTGGTCTAAGCATAGTAACTCTTAAATCACTCCTTTAACAGAAAACATGCTTAAGGAATTAGGACATTAAACTCAACACATTTGGATCGGTAATTACAAAAATTCAATGCATTTACACAGTACATTCATTAGCTAGGATACTGTTCAAATTTCAAAACATGGCAACAAACCTTTTCACCTAAGAAATCCCATAAAAAAAAATTGGATAATCCCAATCAGTGCTCTTATAAACATGATAAAGCGTTGATGCTCTCAAAAAACATAAGAACCCCCTTGCAAATTTTTAAAATAACAAGGCAACAAAAAATTCATGCTTTATGTGCTGTACCACTAGAACTAGGCAAACAAGCTTTGTTTGGCTGTCAAGCTTTCCACTCAAGCTCTCTTTCTCACATCAAGTAATTCACCAATAACCCAAAGTTTATGCAATATACGAATTTGGCAATTAGTAACATAAAAATTGTTTACAGAAAATACGAATTTGGAGAAACAAAAAATGTTCATTTCTCAGCAAACAGGAGACAAATTATCTTTGCTAACCTTTTTCCTTTAACCAATTCCCTATAACAACAATTCCAATTGCTCCTCTCTCCAAACTTTCCCAGCAACAAAACAAACAACAAACGAATCACACCCATTACTCATCATTTTCTCAGTAACCATACAAACTACAAACTGATCCACGGAAACACATAAAACGAAAAAGAATATCAATTAAAGGAAAGTATAACATAAATTTGAGAAAATCCAATAGGCAATAGCTAAGCAAAGAAGTTGTAGCAGTGTACCAGTTAGAGGTAGCTGGTCTGAGCAAGAGGGACTGGAGAGAAAAAGAACCCAAGTCCCTGTTAGTAGTGGGGGAGTCGGAAGGTATAACACCCAAAGGGAACCCATTTCCCAGAAGAGATTGTTGCTGAATCCTGAGGGCTCGGCTGGCTCGAGCACCGTCGAGAGGAAATGGGTAGCCGGGAACGGCCTTGGCGGAGTCCTCAAGGGTCTGAGGCGAAGAAACGTTCAAGTCCCAGAAGGCTAAGTCCATTGACGTCCTCAGTTTCGCCATTGTTGGCTGTCGAAATAGCGAGGGAGTGCGAACTCTTTTAGGTTTTGGTTTTGGTTTTGGGGTTTAAGTGGTGGGTTTGTGATGGTTTTATTTGTCTCTTCGTTTGGGTCCTTATCTGTCTTGAAATGAGTTTCAAGACATGAGTTTCAAGAAGACACCCCAAGAGATAGGGATGACAATTCTAATTGTTTAACTCGATAATCGTCTGAATAGATTGGATTTGGGTATAAAAATTCGGGTGTATTTTGGGTATGGGAAAAAAATATGAATATTATTCGGTTATGATTTTGGATATGGTTATAAGGGTCAAAATCCGTATCAATCCCCGAATCTGAACCGAATAATATATAATATAATTAATCATAATATTAAAATATTAAAATATATATACACACACATATGTATATTCATTATTTGCCAAATCCCTTACTTTGAGTGTAATACAAAATTGCATTATGTGAGTTGCATTTTGTGGGAATGTTCATAAGTTTTGATATAAATCAAAATCTATGAGAATTTAATGGTACTTATGGGAGTTATCAAAAGATCAACCAACATTATTAATGTTTAACTTTAACTTTTATGCTCCACAAGATCCATTCATTAAATTATTTTATACATCAAATATTTAATGACGAAATTAATATTTAATAAATTATCATGCGTCAATTAAACGAATATATTTTTTGTATTGACAAAAATGGATATAACCGTTAACCGATGGCTATGGTTATGGATAATACCCGATGGTTAATTTGCGGTTATGGATATGGTTAATTTTCATGGTTATGGGATTGGATATAGCACTTTCATCCCCAAACCGAACCGTTGCTATCCCTACCAAGAGATCTCTTTTTGAAACAAGTTCTAAGGTATGGGTGTATCCTCACTGTCGCGTTTCGTGCTAATGACATAATATTGCATAGAAAAACTTATACAGTTATAATTGTTTCATTGGCTTGAGACTCCACCATGGCGACGTATTATTGTCATAAAAGTCCTTTGCAAGAAAGTGATTAGTGGTTGAGAAATCCACAAAATCCACCATGGTGTGAATGGAAAGGGTGTTGATGAAGAGCTCATATGTTATGTTTCAATGATGGATGGTACTAGTTTAAGGGAGGTGAATAGGTTCCAATTTATAAATCTAATGCCAATTTGGATTAGCAAATTAATTTTCACATCCACATCACATGAAGGTATCTTACATATATGCATTTAAATAAACTCTGAAAATGTACATTGCAGACGTAGGAAAATCCCTAGGCTCCCAAGTCAGGGTAAACACTAAGGGTGCGTTTGTTGCACCGGATTAACTCAGACTGGACTAGCTTTAGGGACTAAGCTGGATTGACTTAGACTAGACTAAGCTGGATTGATTTAGTGAAGCATTTGGTAGAGTGCCGGACTAAAAAAAAGGAATAGTTAACAACTATAACTTTATATCATTAAATACACATTTAATAATATTTTGTTATTAACTCAATAATATTTTATTTTTTATTCAAGCTTTTTCTTTGTGTTTGTGCCTGGGACGCTCTTCTCTATCTAGACTTTCTCTTTGGGAGTTCATTCTTTTCTTCCTCGTTAGTGTCGTCCCCCAGCACTCATTTTTTCCTGCAAAACAATATCCTTCAAGGTGATTTTTCCTGCAAAATCGTCCTTAAAGCTACTCTCTCCTCCGTCTCTCCATGTTTCTTTGTACTAAAGCTACTCTCTCCCTTTCTCAATCCATTTCTCAGGAATTTTCTGGGAAAATGTTTTTTTTTTTGGGAATTTTTTGGGAATTATTGGGAATAAGGAAGAATTTTGTATGGGGATTGTTGTTGTTTTTGTTTTGAATTTTTTTTTTCAAATTTTGGTGTTGAGATTTAGGCAGTGGATGGGCTGGGTTTCAGATCTGGGAAAGAGAGAAGTAGATAGATGGGCAAGGGAGAGAGAAGCAGATAAATAGATAAATACAAATTCTTTACAATGCTAATATAAATAGATAAAACAAATTCTAGCCTCACATCTGACACAATCCCATCCTGCCTACCCTTTGAATTGTTTAGTTCAAAAACCTGCATAACAATAAAGGGATGAGCTTCAACAACTCAGTAAGGACATAACCTTGTCATGGTAAATTGACAATCTTAAATTAAGTGTCATGGTATAATCCCCTAAGTTGCATATTTTGTTCGAAGATAGTTCGAAATTTGTTTATGTATTGACATTTGAGGATAGGTCCTTTATGTTGTGCAAGACACTCTTTTTCCTTCGACCGGAGTGAAATTCCCGGCAAGGTTTTATCAAGGCCTAGTATGCACACTATTCTCAATTTGTTTGTATTTTGAATTTGCTTGCAATGAATTATCGTACTTCTGTAAAAAAAAAAAAGTATGCATTCATTATTAACAACAATGTAGATTGCAATGCAGAATCTTCGTCTATACCCGTTAATCCGTATAAGTAAACACCCAGACCTCGTACATCCCATTTCGTACTTATACCACTTGGTCTCGAGTGACTAATTGTACGAACTAAATCATCCCAATTTCCTGTTTTGTTAGTCGTCTTGCCAAAACCCTTCGTCGCTAATCCGGAATTACCCTAAAAGAAACTGTGCACTCTGGGCTCGCCTGAGACTTGGTACCTACGGCTCAACTAGACAAAAGATCCTTTTCAACTACCCTCATTTCAAATTCCTTTACACCCCATTTGGATACGGTAAAATAAAATAGAATTTCACTTAAACTAGGGAATTTAGGATGGGAAAGCAGTTTTCCCTCGTTTGGGAACCTTGCAACGTGAGAAACGCCAATTTCTACGGGAAAAAAGGTGGAAATTGGGGACGAAGATTTCTGAGTTTAATTTCCTCCTAAAGAGGTGTAATTTCACAATTCCAACAACGGTGAGAATCCCGAATTCAGTCTGCATAATTTGAAGAGTGAGGAATATTTTGATAATGTTCAATCTCGATCCTGGATCTACTTAATGATTCCTTATGCATATAGTTAGATATCTTGTATTCTGAGGTACCTCTTGCACTAAAACGCAGTGGGAGAAAACAGAAATGAAAAAGGACAAGTATACATATAGACATTAGATATATGAATATGTTTGAATAGAGAAGCATTATGCTGGCCTTTGGAATGTTTATGCTTGGGGATCAATAGTAATACATTTTCTGTGCGAAAATGCATGTAATAGGAAATCAAAAAAGGGTATACTCATTATAGAATTGTGAATTTTGTTGATAGTTTAATGTTTGGTGTGCTTATTATGTTTTTTTTTTCTCCGATTGAATTGTCTATTTGGTATGTAATTAACCTTACCTGGGAAAGGTGGAGGGTTTTTGGTGATGGTGGTGGCTTTTTTTTTGGGTTGGGGGGGGGGGGTGGTTCTTCCCCTGAACTTTTTACTTCACTTCAATGGAAAATACTATTATCCCATAAATATTTGTTGCATATCTCAATATATCTTTGTTCATACATTCAAATAGGTATGTAAAATACTCATATTGTAGACATGCTAACGAGGGTAAAGCGACATCGTGCTATAAATGAAGAGGAAAATAGGTAAAAAAGGAAAATTATTGTCAGTACAATTATATATGTTATTGTCATGGTCATGCATTGGCATAGTACAAGTGTTCTTCTCAAAGAACCTTCAAATGATTGGGATCAAGAAAGGCAATCTTTCCTTGGTCGATTCCTCGATGGAAAGGATTCAACATGCATTGAACAATTATGAGTTAGCAAGAGTGCATTTAAGCAATTATGTGAAATTTTACAAGGGATTGGTGGATTAGTTCGCACGAGAAATGTGTCCATTGAAGAATCTGTTGCAATATTTTTTAATATACTTGCCCACAACTTGAAGGTTAGAGTCATCGGTTTTCATTATTATCGTTCCAAGGAAACAATTAGTCAGCAATTTATGTGTTGCATGCAATGATGAAAATAAGTCAAGAATATGTGCAATATCAGCCAAGTGTTATTGGCAATTCTGAAAGAGACAAGTGGCGGTGGTTTGAGGTAATCAATCAACAACTATACCAAAAAAATATGTCTTCGTTTGATATCTTCATTAGCTTTTTAGACTTATCTCTTTTCTTTTTTTTTTTTCATTTGTATGACATTTTTATTTAGAATTGTCTTGGAGCACTTGATGGAACTCTCATACCAGTATCGATAATGGATGAGGAAAGACCAAGATATCAAGATAGAAAGGGTGATATATCCACTAATATGTTAGGAATTTGTGGTCCAAATTCAAGATTTTTTATGTGTTACCTGGATGGCAAGGCTCTGCATCTGATGCTCGTGTTTTGCGTGATGCCTTATATAGGATTATTCCAATAAATTATAACTAAGAATAGGGTGAAATATATGGCATAATATGGACTCATCATTCGACATTGAATTATTCCACAAATGACTTGGAATTCTATGCCATTGTTCAAGCATTGCAGTATTGGAGGCACTATCTGATCTACAAAGAGTTTGTTATGTTCTCCGATCATGACTCTTTAAAGCATATAAACAATCAAGAAAAATTACCAACAAGGCATGCTAAGTGGCCAGCATATTTGCAAGAATTTGCATTTGTCTTAAAGCACAAAGCCGGTGTGCAAAATCAGGTTGCATGTGCTTTATGTCGGAGGAAATATTTACTTAGCTCGATGAGAATTCAAGTATTGGGGTTTGACTCTTTGAAGGATTTATTGAAAACTAATCCTTTCTTCTCTACATTTGTTAAAGATGTTAAGCATGGAACTATAACATAATATGTGTTGCATGATGGGTTTCTCTTTAAAGGGAACCAACTTTGCATACCAGAGTCTAGTTTAAGATTGAGGATCATACAAGAGTTTTATAATGAAGGCCACATTGGAAGGGACAAGACCTTGAGCTTATTTCTTTCTCTTATTTCTGGCCTACCATGCGCAAATATGTATATCGTTTCGTAGAACGATGTCGAATCTGTCAAGTTTCTAAAGGCAAAGCGGCAAACACTGGATTATACATGCCATTACCCATTC